AAATGGAGATGCTTGATGGTATGCTTTGTATTTTATTCTCCTTTTTTTAAAACAATAATGAACTGCACCCCAACTTCCCAATTCATTTCGAATGAAAATAGATGTAGAGAGAGAGAGAGAGAGAGAGAGAGAGAGAGAAGAATGAAAATTTACACTACACTGTTTGGGGCCAACTATCTGATGAACCTCACTGAGAAAATACCTTTTCTCCCCTTGGTACTTTTATTGGATTAATATTCTCTTTCATTTGAAGAAGTACTTGTCCATGGCACAAATGTTGATCCTTAGAATAACAAATGGGAAGATTATGGTTTCAAATGGATCCCATCAATTGACACTGCTGCTTTCTTATTTAATTGTGTCTAACCGTGCACCACTACACACTTCCTTTTGTGTAAAGAGACGACAACTTCAAGAGCTATAATTCTATTATTGCAGTGTTGCAGCAATTCTTATACTTACCCCTTTATTTTACATTTACCAGGTCAGATGGGATGAAGATATAGGAAATGATCATCAAGAACGAGTCTCCCCATGGGAGATTGATCCTTCCGTTTCTCTTCCACCTTTGAGCATTCAGTCTTCTCCAAGATTGATGAAGAAACTGCGGACAAGTCTGCAGGCAACCCCGCCCAACAACTCCATAACTGGTACAATACTTCCCAACCAGAGCAAGAATTTTTCATTTTTTCAACTTCTATCCTCAATGTGTCAATTTTCTTGCAGCTGGAGGGGTTGGGTTTATGGACTTTGAGGAATCAGTTAAATCCTCTAAGGTCTTGCAAGGTCAAGAAAATATAGGTTTCATATCACCCTTGTATGGATGTGATACTGTAAACCGCCCGCAAGATTTTGAGATGCAAGCTCCGGCACATCCAAGTCTTGCATCAAATGCAACACAGAAGGCTACTATTGGCGAGCTTATGAGGGCTCGCCACTCCACCTACACAGGATTTGCGGAATCTGATAGGTTTCCAAAAGTCTTGCAAGGTCAAGAAATATGCCCATTGAGATCTTTGACAGGAAAAGCAAATTTCACCCTAGGTGATTGGGAATCCAACCTTGGTTGCACATCTTTCAACATTTATCAAGCGCCCAAACCAAATTTTTTCTCTCTAGGCTCTGAATCCCTTCCAAATATATATTTTCCTTATGGCGACATTCGAAGAGCTGGCCAAGATCCTGTGATGTGCTCTAATGCTACTAACTTACCCAGGGAGAATATGAAAATCAACCCGTATTCTATGCAAATGGGAGTTACAAGAAACGAAGTTGGAAGGCCAAATAAACCTAGTGAGCACAAGCCGCAGGAGAGTAGCTCTGCTTCTCCCACTTTAGTGCCAAATCCAAGAAATCCCAATGATGAAGACTTTAATGGAACTGTTACTGGATGTAAACTTTTTGGGTTTTCCTTGACTGGGGAAAATCCCACTCCAAACTCTCAGAGTTCCAGTAAGAGGAGTTGTACAAAGGTAAGCTACAGTAGCCCTCAAGTTGGATTGTAACTTGCCATGTCTTGGACATCTTTCCCAACTGATGTTACATATATTGAGTGAAGGTTCACAAGCAAGGCAGCTTAGTGGGAAGAGCCATTGATCTCTCGAAATTGAATGGCTATGGTGACCTGCTGAGTGAACTAGAACGGTTATTTAGCATGGAAGGTCTTCTACGAGATTCTGATAAAGGATGGCGGATCTTGTACACTGACAGTGAGAATGATGTCATGGTTGTTGGGGATGACCCATGGCAGTAAGTGTCTCTCTCTCCCTCTCTCTCTCTGAATTAAACTTTTATGTTTGCCTAGTTCTTTTGAACGATATACTCATGCATAGTCTTTTATGTCATAGGAAGCAATAACATAAATGCAGCTCTAATTTCGGTTAACAATTGGGTTTTTAGGATACCAAGCAAGGCAACAAGAAGATGTGTACTTAAAGAATTAATTTGTTCTTTTCATTTTTCCCCTTTGTAGACAGAGATGCGATGTGTGTGTGTCTCCGTGTGTTTTTCTCTTCTTCTTTTTAGCCTGACTTATAAAACGCCATTTCATCTTAGCTTGGTTAACTGCAGAAGAATATGTTGTTTTGCTGTCAGGAAATGTTGTTTTGGAGTTTTCTGAACAATCCATATGAACATTTTTTTTATATGACCTTTTGAAAATGATGGGTTCTTGATGCAGTGAGTTTTGCAATGTGGTCTCCAAAATTCATATATATACCCAGGAAGAAGTGGAGAAGATGACCATCGGAATGATCAGTGACGATACTCAAAGTTGTTTGGAACAAGCCCCAGTCATGCTGGAAATGTCAAAGTCCTCATCAGTGAGCCAGCCAGATTCTTCCCCAACAGTAATCAGGGTCTAAAAAGAATAAAATCCAGGGTTGTCATTAGGTTGTTGTAACTTTATCTGCTTATGCAAATAATGCACACCAGAACCTAGTTATGTATTTTCCAGATTTCCTAGGCCAAACACAACTTGAAAATGAAACGTGTTTGGCCTTCTAGAGATTGAACTCTTTCCCATTGAAATTAAATATGTAGTACTGTGACTTGTTGAGTGTAAATTGTTGGATATGTTCTCTTACGTCTCCGCCTTAGTGGAGAAGATGAAAGAATTTTTAAAGTTAATTTGGCGTTTGGTACTAAAGTCGGAGGAACAAAGTTTGGTGTTTAGGATGCTGACCACGATATAAATTTGCTCCTGTGAGGTGAAGAACTTTTAAATTTGTTCCTGACTTGCCTCAAGCTCTACTCTGTGCGGACAAATGAGGGATATAATCTTGGAATTAAGGTAGAAGTCAGAATATCTACATTAACACACATCAATTCCCTTGTTTGGATTCATAAACAAAGAAATTTAAAATTTTCATGTGAAAAGAAACTTGGAACAGAAAACAAACATGTAAGCTGCCATGTGAAAAGAAACTTGGAACAGAAAATAAACATGTAAGCTGCCATCGCCACCACCTCTACTACCACCAGATTGCCCTGGACGATGCCACCAGACCCACCACCTCTATTACTACCACATTACAATGACCATCTACTACCAGCACCTATACTACCAACATATGACCATCGCCACCACCACACCCCGACCCACCATCACATGACATGAGGGTACCACCGCCATTAACACATCCTAACCACCACCTCTCATTTATAAATTGATACCCTGTAAGATAATAAACGTCAAATTCTATGTTCTAAATCTCATTATATTTCAAGTTAGCCAAACAAAAAACAGAGATGCAAAGTCCAGATCTTACTAGTCAAACCTCAATCATACAGTAGGATTTCAAACCCTACATCTTTTGGTTTATTTCTCCGACCTTCAGCGGTGTGTTCAAAGCAAAGTGACTGTAGAACCCTTACTCATTACTCAGCCAAAAAGGACTCTTGACAACTGATCGGTTCATAATTGTATATCATTTTGTACCCTTCTAGCTTATGATTTGGTTATGTTTTTGAGTTAAACTTGTGCTTTTAATCCTTTTTGTGTTTATCTTTCAGTTCATTGAGCTTTAGGTAATAATGATGGCTTTAGAGAGCATAATTCATGCAATTCAAACATGTTAAGGCCTAATTTGGATGAATGGATGAAGAGCTTAAAGACAAACTCATTTTGGCTACAGCCCCCTGCCAGTCCAGTTCCGTAGGTCATATTGCAAGCTTTGTTTCA